TTATAGACATACTCCTTTTCTAGTCTAGCATGTTCCTACTCGACTGCTCCAAATTTGGACTTAATCCTGCCTGCTGTGGCTATGTCTGCCCTGAAGAGTTAATGTGGGCCCTGACTGGGTTTTAACCTTACTTCCCCCTCCATTCACAAAGAAGAACCTCTGACTCAAATCTGGAGGTGTTTTGCAGGGTAGGGGTGTGGGTTAAATGCGGGATTAACTTTTAACGTGGGCTGAAGCCCAAATTGCAGGAAGGGAGCAGGCCAAGTGGTGTTAGTCCTTCAGTGACCTTCCTATGTTTCCCCATGAAAGGCAGACTTTCTTCCGTCCCTGACACAACCAATGGAAAGGAAGCACAAACTGAATCAGCCCGGCAAAGTGTGGAATATGACTCCTGGTACATAGGAATAAGTGTAGGTACCATAGCAGGGGCAGGGCTTTGCTGTGAGGATGACTGTACCTCAGTCATGTGCTCCGGTTTGGGTGCTAACTGTGCAAATGAACTATGGAGCATTGCACAGTCCCTGTGTGAATGCTCTGTGTCCAGCAAAATCAAGGCAACACGCCTTTTGTGGCAGGATGTTCTGACTGGCAGCTGGAGAAAGATTCCCCATTTCCTTTTCCGAGGCTGATTCAGACTTTGGAAAATCATCATATGTTAAAGTAAAGGCAAAGCCTCCCCAATTCTTTATGGGAAGGATTTGATCCTGTCAGATCTCCCAGATCGCAAGTATAGTCATCAGGGCGCAGCCATGAAAGTAAAGGCTCTGCAAAAGAAGTTGAATGTGCTGTTTTGTGACCAATCTGTAGTCCAGATTCTCTGGTGTAATCCAGCTGCTTGTGCAGTGCAAACATTTAGAAAGCGTGGCAGACATGAATCAGTTTCACTTCAGTTTTCTACTCTGTTTCGGTTTCTGCCTCTTTATGCCCCAGACTACTGCAGTGGGCAGCATTTGATCTGCACAGGTAGCTGCCACTTTCCCTCCCTCTTTTCTTCCCTCCTTCCCCTTGACCTAGGTCTGTAAGCATTTTTATCCAGAACTGTGCCTTTACTGCTGGAGCTCTTGGGTCCTTTCTGCTGGCACAGCGTGAATAATCAACAGTGCAGTTCAGTGGCTGTCATTGTGCCTGCAGAATTTCCCACATACTAAATTGTTCAACTTGTTGGAACATAGGCGGTGACTAAGGTCACTCCGAAGGGGAACGGGAAGAAGGAGGTAGCTGCAGACAAGATAGGAGAACAGACAGGAGGCATGCTGCAGTTAGGGGAGGAGGGAAGAGGAAGGAAAGGGACAAGGAACAGAAACGTGCTGTCTTCTAGACGAGGAATACCAACAAGCAGTCCATGCCTGCCAGGCTACATTTCCCTTTCACAAGCCACTTTCTCTTTTAATAGCTGCTCACGCTCTCTGACACTTCAAACTCCCTGGATGGAAGCTCCTCCCCTCTTGTACCCATTCTCAGCACTGTGGCACTGTCAGCTCTGCATGACCTAGAATTAACTTTCAACAATTAACTGCGGGCTGTGAGCTCCAAGCCCTGCAGCTTTTGCATTTTTGTGGCAAAGTAACCTTTATGCCAGTTTGTCACAAGTTCAGGGCACTTCAGAAACGCTTACTGGAGACCATTTTTTTCCATGATGCAAGCAGTTTGTGCTTATCACTTGGTTATCAACCTTGGTGCTGTAGGACTCTGCATACTGTACAGGTGGATCATTATAATGCATAACAGCGTGGGGCAGGTAGTATCTCTTCGTGTGTACTCTTATCCTCTGCTCCATTTGAGACATCCTCCTTTGCCTGCATGCTGGTAGAGCTAAGAGGCCTGGAGGGCTCCAGGTACTCTCTGTTTGCAGAACTGTACTAGCAGCTGGGTTTTGTGCGTGTGTACTTATCTATCCTATCTCTCATCTCTTTAAATCTCTCCAACCCTTGACCAAGCAGCAAAACGAAGCTTTGGCAAGAGACTGGGAAACATTGAGAAACGCTTGTGAAATCAGTGCAGATCGCAAGCAGTTAGTGTTTGCTTCATTCAGAGGGAAGGCAGGGGATAATGAAAGATCCACCCTGTTCCTCCTCCCACACTACCTCATTGTGGTTCAGTAGCCAAGTATATGGTCTAGTTAATCCTGGGGGTGCTGTGGGCTTGCTTTGAATCTTTCAGTGGGTGGCTTGATTCCTTGGTCTGGGAAGGTGGTCAGTGTGGAGACGTGGAGGCTGTGACTTGTAGCAGGTGCTGTTGTGGTTCTGAGGTGGCCTGTTGAAGTGGATGTTCTGCATGGGCAAAAGAGGTAGCTGATGGGAAGAGTGAGGATACGTGGATGCATGGTTCAGAACCCTCTGCTTGTTCTCGGAAGTGTCTCTGTGCCGAGGTCTGTAGAAAGGATGCTTCTGGCTTATCCCCTTGCCTTCTAAAAACCACTGGGGCATCCACTGGCTGTTTTCAAAGCAGGTAAAAGGCAAACTGGTGAAGGGCCTTAATCCAGAGTGCAGTTCAACTGCAGCCTCAGGTGCTTTTTGGCTGAACTAACATGCTTAGTGACAGCATATCCGAGAGTATGGGGGATAGTGGGGAAGGGGTTTGGGGAGGAGGCACCTGTGGGATGCATCATGGTGCCAGGGAGGCAAATAAGTGAGGCTCTCTTGACTATCTTGCCTCTGCCTTGAAGCAGTGGTAGGAAGAGATTGTCTCTTTCTCTTCCCCACTTGATTTGTGTGTGTGTGCGCGCGCGCGCACGTAGGGCAGAGACAAAGGACTTAGGCCTGCAAGACTGTTAGTGAAGAGCATAGGGTAGATGTGTTGCAACTGTCTGGTTCGTTTTAAGGGGCAAAGCACTAGACGTTCTTGAGCTAAGTTTGCATTAACTTGTTCCCTCCATTCCTCCTTTCAGTTATCAAATTCCTGGAAGTCTACGAGCGCAGCTTCTGCAGGACAATTGAGACCCTGGTGGACATTTTCCAGGAGTACCCTGATGAGGTGGAGTACATATTCAAGCCATCCTGTGTGCCTCTGATGAGATGTGCGGGTTGCTGCGGCGATGAGGGCCTAGAATGTGTCCCTGTGGATGTGTACAACGTCACGATGGAGGTGAGGGCCCAGCTTGCAAGCTGGCATGCTTGGGTGGAGGAAGCAGGTCAGCCATCACAGCCACCTCAAGTCCCAGCTCCCAGCTAATTCAGAGGAAGAGTAGCCTACCCCAGGGAACTGGAGGTTCTCAGATCAGGAGGGCTGACCTCTCTCCTGACCCTTGTGCCCAGCATTACACCATGCAGGGTTAAAAGACGAGTTGCCTATCTCTGTTCAAGGCTAAGAGGAGAATCTGTTTTTTGGCTCTAACCTTGCAAGTGCCCAAATACAGTAGCTAGGAGCATGCAAAGGAGCATTTCAGCAAAGGAACACTTCATGCTTAGAGAATGCAAAGGAGCATTTCTGATGCTGTTCTCTCTGAGGCCCCAAAGAAGATACTCCTTGGGCCCTTGCTCCTCCCTAACTCTGCGTTTGGTCCACACAGCTGTTGCTCTGAAGGCAGCTGAGTAGTGCAAAGGGGGAAAGCCTGTCAGTACTCTCTCCCGGAGGGCATGCGAGGTCAGCCTTTACCAACAGAGCAGGGGATTTGGGTCATTAGCTACATGGGCACAGCAGGGGTGGAAAGGGGCTCTAAGAAACACACTGCTTCAGTGTCAAGTGGAAAAGCCTTTCTGCCTCTGGGCATCCTCCTCCTTTGTTTGGAGGCTGCTGAATTCATTCCTTGGAAGAGACAGAGATGACCATGATAACAAAGGCTGGGCACATGGGGAAGATGCAAGTGCTGCTTTAGAGAGCTTTGTCACTGCCCTTGTTTGCCAGCCTGGATCCCAGCTTGTGTCCACAATGGTGTTGGTGTCCATTACGCTTATCCCATAGCTCCCTCACCTACTTTTGTTCCGCAGCCTCTTGAATGGCCACTGTAAATACTTCCATCACTTTTTGATATGGATGAGAGACATGCAGGACTATGTGATTACCAGCAAGCTCCTTTTATTTGTCATTTGAGCTGTGTTTGAACTCTGGCGGAGAACCTGTCTGTGCCCTTCCATGGTTCCCCATACTGCTTTTCCACTTGCAGGCTCCAGCCTGGGCCAGAGCCTACTAGCATGGTGTAGCTAGGGGTGGTTCTCTTCCTAGCATTCCTTGCTGAATTACAGTTTTTGGCTGGTATGCCCACATGCCTGTAAAGGGTCAGAGGCACTTGAGCAGATCTCTGGTGCAAATGTTAGAGCTAGTGGTCCAGCCAGGTTCTCAGGTTCTGGGTTAAGAGACTGACAAGGCATGCATAGCTTCCAATATAACTTCCCTGGAGGCACACGGGGCTGGAGGATGGGCAATGTCTGGCTCTGCAGGGCTGCTTTAAGCACCGATCACCAGATCTATTTTGTGTCGAGTCACTGAGAAAGTGAGATGTCGGCTGGGAAGGAGCGGTGGCTTAGGGAAAAGAAGTTGGATATGGAGCTTTTGCTTTGGGCCTTTGTGTTAGAGACTGAAGCATGCCTCTACTTGAGAGCAGGCTGGATACTCGGTTATGTCTCTTAAGCATCGACCAGGGATGGCTCAGTGAGAACCTTGCCGTGGTATTACACCTTCTCCCATGCCTATCTCCAAGGCAGTCCACCAGTGCTGGCACCTTGCATGCACGAGCAAACAGAGCTTTGGCACGAGGCTGGTGTTGCTGCTTGCTTGTGATCAAAGGCCTTCCCTGACTGGGAGAATGGGGCCTCAAAGCCAGCTCAAACTCTGCCATGCTCTTCCCAGGAGCGCCTGGGGTGCAAATGCTTTGCCACGCAGCAGGCTGATTTGGAGCTGTGAATATAAATAGTGAATGGGCAGTGACCCTCTCTGTTTCTTTCATTCCAGATCATGAGAATTAAACCCCATCAGAGTCAGCACATAGCGCACATGAGCTTCTTACAGCACAGTAAATGTGACTGCAGGTGAGAATGGAGCAGCACTGGTTCCTCTTGCAATAAACTTATTCTGAGCCTTTCCTTTTTTCTGCCATTGGGTTGGGACTGTTGTCCAGAGTTCTGCAGTCTCCTCAGTTGGTTTGCAGTGGGATGGCCGAGCCTGGGAAATGAAGTCCTTTGCTGGCGAGGCTCCTCCATCTCTAGATATCACAGGTGGACAATGCTAGCCTGCAACCTGAGGTCTTTTGGCACTGGCTGCCAGCGAGGTGCAACAGGAGAGCAAACACTTTGAGAAGGACCACTTAACCTGTGCCATGGGCATCCTGCAATGCCAGCTGTACATGTCCTTCCCTGGACTTGGTGGGAACTGGGGATAATACTGGAAGCATGTGTGGTAAGCTCCCTTCTAATGAGGCCTTTGTTCTCTCTTCCCCCACAGACCAAAGAAAGATGTCAAAAACAAACAAGAAAAGTAAGTGAGAAGCCTTTCCTCCTTTCTCTTTTGGTGGTTGGTTGGCGTTTTCTCTCCCCACTGCCCCTTGCCCTTTTCTTTGGTTGGAGATACTCACTTTGAGAAGGTGTTTTTGGAAATGACATATGGTAGTGCATGGGGCGATACTCTGAATCCGTTCCAGGTGGGCACAGAAACCCAGATCTGATGGTCCTTCCTTCATACCCCAGACCTGGAGCTTGCATGACCCACGGCCATGGCAGTCATTCCTAATGCTTTATCCCGAGTCAGGGAAGTCCCGTCGTGTGTGTCCTACCAGAATGGATTCAAGGTGCAGCCCCCCAGTCTCCCTTCCCTCTTCCTGGGGTGTTTCTGGTTACTGCAAATCGCTGCCTTTCTTTATTATTAATTTTTTTCTTGCTGCTTGAGTGAGTACTCGCTGGCTTCTTTCACAGCAGCTTGGGTAGGAACTCTGCTGGCTACAAGGAGAGGTGGCAATAGAGGCCTGGTGGAGGCAGGACTGATGCCATGCAGGATGTGATGCTGGTTTTGGTTGGGTGGGGGCCCAAGAGGGTGTAAAGGGAGGTGGATGTCCTAGCCGGGTCTTGGTGGAAGCTTTTGTGAGAGTTTTTTTCAATCTGGTGGATTTGCTCTGGTCGCCTGAAGGAGGTTAAGGCACAACCTTCCCTTTCCTTCCTCCCCGAAGTAAAAGGTTGTGGAAAGTAGGGAAATAAGCTCTCGTCCTGCAGTAGTCGCAGGGACGATCACAAAATGTGGAACAACATCAAAAAGAAAGAGTGACCTCTCTGGGCGAGAGGGTCAACTGGACTGCACATGGCTGGGATAGCGACTCTGCCATTTAGAGGTGTGGAGCTGGAGAGGAAGGGGAGATGATACTGGGAGATGAGGCTGAAACAGAGACAGAGAGAGCAAGCGGGAGAGTGAGAGAACTTCTTTCACCCCTCTCCTAGTGATTGTATATTTCTAGCTGCTTTCCAGCCTCTCCTCTCCCTGGAAATCTGCTCCTGGCTGCATCGGGCTGCATGCAGCCAACACTCCTCTCTGTGCAGGGCCGTGTTGGGGATGGTCGGTTTGCGTGGCTCTATGGTTTGAAGGTGTGCGAGAGTTGGGTCTGTGTGAACTCTGGTGAGGATGGGGTGTGGGTGAAGCAGCCAGCCCGGACTGCGTTGCATTCCCTTTCCTCTTCTAACAGCATCTTGCCTGCTCTTCGCTGGTTCTGCACTCCCTGGGGAAGGAAGGGAAGGGATGGGAGAGATTGATGTGCTTTGGTTTGTGCTGGATTGAAAGTCCTGTTATATTGGTGCCCCTCTCCTCCCTTCAGGTCGATTTTCCTCCCCTCACCGCCTCCCTGTGACTCCTGACATGTAGGGCAGAGGCTGGGAGCGAGCTGATGCTCTGACACTCGTTCCAGTGAGACGACTTGAACAGGGCCTAAGAAACACCTATGATGCTTTCCTTTCTGTCCCCCCATGTCCCCTTGACAGCTCCCTCCCGAGGTGGGCTGCGCCAGGGAATGAGGGACCCTTTGCTGAACTGCCATAGTGCTGGGGCTCACTTGCCTGACAGGCCCTGGTGCTTTGCCTAGGGCCTTCTCCTTGCATGTCTCTCCCTTGGTCCTGTGCTAACGTGGCTCAAGGAGCAGCGCAGGCTCCAGCCTCCCTCCCTTCTTGTGGTCTCACTGGCCTGTAGGGATCCAGGGTTAGTGTCCAGGCCTGCATGTCCTAGCCCCTGCCTGTCCCAGCTCCTGCCCAAGAGTCAGGAGTAACTGGTGAATTTTTCAGAAGAGAGTCAGTGCCTTGGCTCTGTCCACTCATCTCTCTGGCAGATCCATGTGGAAGGCGAGGGGAGGGAGGGAAAGGAGGGAAGATCTGACGGCTGCCTGCTGGTTATCTCCTGGGTGTCATGACTATGTCAGGCCTCCCTCTTTCCCCTTCAGTACTCAGGATGGAGGCTGCCAGAGGGGATGTTAGCAGGCATCCAGCGAGGTCTCCTGGAGTCCTCTGAACCACAGGCAGGAGGTGGGGTGGGTGAGCAGAGCCTTCGAGCTAGATAGCCCTCTCCTGCACAGCACTGCTGCATAGACCAGGTCTCTCCCCTTGTCTGCAGGGTGCTGAGGCCAGACCCCCTTTGCTCCCATCCCATCAGGTTGCCTCTTGTCAGTCAGCGTGCGCCCACGCTTGTTGCCTGGAATGGTTGTCTGCACTCATTGTGGTTGCGTGATGCTTTCACGAAGCTTTCTGTTCCTTCCCCCTCACCCCCTGTCCCTTTCCCACTGTCCCTCTCTGGAGGGGGCAGGTGCCCCTCTGAGGCGCCAGCCTCTGCTGGCAGCAGCCCTGCTGGAGGTGGTCTCTGCTGAGTCCCCTGGCATTGGCATGGCTGTGGGCAGGCTGGTTGCTCTGCTGGCAGGAGCGCAGGAGGGCCGGTGAATGTGTGTATGAGGTGGAGATCTGTGCTTTGGCCCCAGGACTTGACCTCCAGTCCTGCCTCATGTGCTTCCCCCCTCCCAGCAAGGCACATGGCTGTATTTTTTTTTCCTTCTTCCTTGCATTTTCTTCCGTTTTCTCTCTCTCTCTCCCTTTCTTTCCTTCTCTCTCTCTCTCTCTCTGTTTTTTTGTTTTTCTTCCAGAAAATCAAAGCGAGGAAAGGGGAAGGGTCAAAAGAGAAAGCGCAAGAAAGGCCGGTACAAACCACCCAGCTTGTACGTTTGTGTCCTCTGCTTGTAGACTCTCTTCCCTCCCTCTCCCCAAACCAATCCGCCTGCTTGCTGCTCACTCAAATCTCACCCTCCCCTCCTGGTCACTGGTGGGCTGCAGGTTCTGCAGGGGCAGCACTGGTGGTGGCACCGCTCTGGCACTAAGGGTATCTCAGGGAAGGTGGCTTTAGCTTGCTTGGCTCTCTCTAATCATCAGTGGCGAAAAATAATCACCATTTTCCCAAGGCACAAGAGCACGGGTGGGTGGGCGAGCGCCCTGCACCTCTTCCACGCCTTCCGGTTGCAACTCTGTCGTCCGCTTTCCCCCACTCGTCTTGTGCCCTCGCTGCTACAACGACTGGCGACAGGCAGGCTGGCATCTGCCGTGCATGTGTGTGTGTGCGTGCGTGCGCGCGTGTGCGTGCGTGTCTGGTGGAGTCACAGGCGGAGAGGAGAGGTGGGATGGTGGGAAGCTGGAGAGGGGGTGCTGGGGAACTGGGGGGGCCTCTCTCTCTTTTTTCCTCTCTTTCTCTGCTGGATTTGGTGGCTTCTCTCTCCCTGTCTCTCTCTCTGTCTCTTTCGCTCTGCCTCTCTCACCGTGGTTCACAGAATTCTGCATTGTAAATTCATGGCCCCTCCATAGGAGACTCCTTGGTGGCAAGGTTGGGATGGGGCTTACAGAAAGGAGGACAGTGCCAGCTGCAGGGGTAAGCACGTGATGCTGGAGCCCAGCTGCTTTCCAGGGGAGGAGAGACCCTGTATATTTAACTCGTTTAGCTGCTGGCCTCTTTCTACTCAAATAGCCCACTTCAGAGAACTCCATTCATTGATACGTCAATAGCTGGTTGGGAACTCTCACCTTCCCATCCTTGCTTTCCCCTTCTTCCTCCCTCTGCCCTGTGCCGATGGATCCAATGCAGCATTTGTGAATACTGTGCAGAGAGCCTGTTTTCTTTCTCTTTACGCTAATGCAAGGGGGTGCTGTCCTGGGGCTGCTGGGGTGCTGCTGGAAAATCCATCAGCCCGCGACGCTCCAGTGGGCAGCATGGGGGCTGCGGGAGGGGGCAAGGGGATTGCTTTGATGTTTAGGGTGTTGCATGTGTATTTTCTTTCTGCTGAAGCGCTGTAGCTTAGACATCTTTCCTTTTGCCTTTTTGCAGTCACTGTGAGCCTTGCTCAGAGAGGAGAAAGCACTTGTTTGTACAAGATCCCCAGACCTGTAAATGTTCCTGCAAATTCACAGACTCACGTTGCAAGTCGAGGCAGCTTGAGTTAAACGAGCGCACTTGCAGGTTTGTGTCCTGAAGGATGAAAGAGAAACACACAAAGAGAAAGAGAGAGAAAGAGAAAGAGGGGGGACAGTGCTAATGATGACTTCTTTTCTCTGTCCTACGTGGGCCAGAGGGCAGAGGGGCTAACTGAGATGAGGACAGAGTTTCCCTGTGTCGAAGGGTGGCTGTGCGTTTCAGCTGTGCTGTCAGGACTTGGACGGGGACGGCTCCCAGGGACAGGGCGTTTGTATCTATGGTATCCTTTCCCGTAAAACAAGATAACGGAGTTCATATTGCTGAGGTAGCCAGGGGGAGGGTCTTTAGCCCTCTGTATCTCTGTATATAATCTGTATGCAACTCTGAGTGTACTGTTGGACAAAGACAAATCCTTAGCTGACTAGGGTTCGACCACCCCTGTCTTCCAAGCCCTTTTTACGCGGCTTGTGGACGTTCTGCTTTGTGCAGAGTGAAGAAAGCCAGGCCAGGAGCCTCCGTCGAGGCTGTCCCCACATTCTCCTTTGCCTCTTTGTTCTTAAAAGCCAGGGAGAGCACCCTGTCCTCCTGCACTATGCTCACAGTTCCTTGTCCATGTCTTGGCCAGAGTTGTGGTTTGAGGGGCTGCACTCAGGGTTGTGACGTGGGATACAGCAGGATTAAGTCTGTCTCTAGGTGAAGACAGGCAGAGGTCTGTATTTCAGGTGTGAGGTGGGAGATGCAAAGACGCTGTGTGGTTAGTGTTTGTTCAGAGATCTATGCTGTGCATGTGTCATCTGAGTGCTCTCTGTCACGCATCATCTGTGGCATAGACACGTGCAGAAAGTGATTCCTGGTTCTCACCCGAGCGCTTTGGTGAACTCAGTGGGGTCTCTTGACTCGTACCAGCTGCGTGTGCATCTCTGGTGTGGGATCATCCTACCTGTCCAGAGGGAGACATAGAAATGGGGTTGCTAACGAGCCTTTGACTGTGACTCTGAACTCAGGCCCTTTTCACAGAGATCTAGGAGATTCCTCCTGTCAAGAGACTGCTGCAATGGCAGTGGCTGGATGGGAGAGAATAAGGGAGAGAGATCCAGGGTCGTCCTCTGTGGCTACGTCCTGAAAGAGGAGACATCCTTTTGCCTCCATTTGCCTGCCTGTAATTGGCTAGGTGACTAAGGCTGCTACAAGTAGCGAGTGCTTCCTTTAGGTGTGAAAATGCTTTGTGCCCAAACCAGAGAGGCGTTGGCACTGCCAGCATGGTGAAAACTGCTCTGTATACAGAGGAATTTTCTGGGGTGCTGTAATTTCAGTGGGAAAGTAATTGATGGAGGGGCCAGAATAGAGCAGCTTCTGAAGTTAAACTTCTCCCAGCAAGCATAACTCCTGAAGCGTGAGACCAGACCTGACTTTGGCCTTTTCCCACACCCCAGAATAACTGGAAATTACCCTACAGAGTTTGAAGGGTGCAAAATAGTCACAAATACAAAGAAAAAACAAACAATACCCCAAAGAAGTCATGATGGCAGAAGGGGTTTACTAGTTTCTCTTACTAGTCCCTCTCTATGGTGGATAACGGGCACTAAGGGAGGTTTCCAGAGCTGGTGTGTTGGCCAGAAAGATAGGAAGGAATCATAGGAGTGGGTGGCTTATCAGTTTCCAGATAAAAAGCTGGTTAAGCTCAAGTTCCTCATGCTCTTTCTTGTAGAATTAGAATTGGGCCCTACAGGGGAGGGTAAATTTTCATTTCTCCTGCTGCTTCTTCAGGCTGCTGCTGCTGTTCTCTGGTGCTAACCCCTGCTCCTGGCAGCTAGTGGAATGAGAGGCTCTTCCTTTTCACCTTCTTGCCTGCATGAGGCCTTGTTGTCTGCACTGCTTCCAACCCAAACAGCAGGCTAGGTGGAGAGCTGAGGGAGTGTGTCTTTCTGCATGCATAGCTTAGCCTTGTTTTTCTGTGTGTTTGTGTTTATCTGTGTGTGCATGGTGTGAGAGGGTGCAAACAAGACACTCGGCTCATCTGTGAGGACGCCTCTGATTCTGCTCCTAAATTTACCCCCAGTACCAGTATCCCCCGCCGCCCCATCTAGGTGAGCCTGGGGGAATAGAGTTCATCAGCCCGTTCATGGGTCAAGATTCTCAGCTGGTTTGCCCCATCTGCACAGCACTTCACCCCACCAGTGACGTCATGCCATGTCTTAACGCCATGTGCTCTTAAACACATTAGCCACCTCCCTTCCTTCCCTTCCCTGTCCTACTTGCACCCCCATCACAAATATTAACCCCTCCTCTCTTTTTTTCCTTCCCTCTCCTCTCTGACAGATGTGAAAAACCGAGACGGTGAGCAGCGGAAAAGAAGGGGGAACAGCCCTGTTTCTGGAGCCTGATTTCTCGCCTGGACAGAAAAAAACAAAACAAAACACTAATCCAAATGAACCCTAAAAATGAAGGATCGGTAGAGCACAGCACTTTCAGTACGGACGATGGACTCCGGAAGGAACATTCCCCAAGGCACCCGCCGCACAGAATTCACCTTTGGGTTTTGAACTGTTTTACTTTATTTTTCTTTTCATGCTGCTAAATAACAGAGCCAGGAAGACTATAGGGGTGTATTTGATGGGTTTTCCCATGCATACATATATATGTGTGTATACATGCATATACATATATATATATGTATATATATTTAACCACATCTATATATACATATATGTATATCTTAACCACACACACACACACACATATATATATAATATATATATATACTGATTATTTTTTTTAACATTGCTAATGTTATTGGTGTCTTCACTGGATAATACTCGACTGCTGTGGACACAAGCGGGCTACTTGGGGCATAAGAAACAAGCTAAGACTGGACTTGAGTAGAAGCGCTGGGTGTAAACTTCTTAACTCTAACTGACTTGTGCGGCCTCCGCTGTTTCTCTGTAGAGTGTGCTGTACCACAAAACACCTCCTTGCCTGGGACAGGGAGGAGAGGTGATGGAGAGGATGGGCAGGGAGTTCCAAAGAGCGGCATCCTAGGGTGCGATGGGTCAAAGGCCAAGGAAATGGCCGTCTGCGTGATCAAGGATTCCTCCTCCCCTCTCTTCCCCCAACCTTCGCCCTTACTCGTCTCATAACCTGCCTGCCTTGCTGGGACATGGGATGTCAGTGTACATTTTGCGTTGACTTTATTCGCTATAGAAACTTTGCCAGAGAGACATGCTGGCTTCTCTTAAGGATGGTGGGCAGCTGATGCGCGCTAACTTTCCATTCAAGGAAGTATCACAGGAGTCTAGATTTCCCGCCCTTGGTGGCTGCAAAAGGACACAAGGCCTACAGTGTGCTGAAGCAAGGATGGGGACCGGTGCATAGCCACACAGTTGTTCAGCACTGACTGCTTTCTTCATGCACAGAGCTGCCACTCAAGAGCATCCAAGATGCTTACGGAACATTTCTGGAAAGGGATATTAATCAAAAGTATATACACAGTAGGGGTGTGTGGGTGTGTGTGTGTGTATGTGAATGTGTGCATTTGTGTCTGTGTGCATGTATGTTTGTGTTTTTCTCTCTTTTTTATATATATATATTTATTTTTATACATATATATATATAAAAAAAAAATCTATGCCAAGATTGAAGGGGGGGAAAAGAAAGCAACTTTTGCTGCCTTCAGTTTGCGTGCCCAGTGTGAATGACCCTTAAGAAAGTCAAGATTTTTTTTTTAATGACGTGCTGTAAATATCGGGCCGCTTTTCCACATCTTGGGCTGGGGAATCAAATGTGAAGGCAGCCGGAATCCCTAAGCCGTGTCTGAGAATCTTGGCTATGTGTGTATCTGCAATATACGCTGTGGTGTATGTGAAACCCACCTTACACACGCGTGCACACACACACCCCCCGAAAGCGTGTCTGTACATCTATGTGGATATATATAATCTAGTTCTGTGATTAAAATTATTATTAATAATAATAATAATCAAAAAGGTACTCGGTCTGTGTCAGAATGCTGCCAAACATCATCTGCAATTGAATTTTCAACGCCTGATAATGTACAACATGGAAAGCTTCCAAAAAGACAAGACAGTCTAAAAACGAGACTCACAACAAGCGACTACTAACCACTAGGAACTCCCCATCCGACTGATGGCTTTGAGAAGGAGAAAAAACACGCGGGTGGGTGCTTGCATCTGCAATGTATAATACTCATGCTGCATCGTGCGCAAGACAGAGGCTTCCGATGGGGGGGAGGGAAGAGAAAGTGTTTTATATACTTATTTAATATCCCTTTTTAAATTAGAAATTAAACAGATAATTTAATTAAAGAGTAGGGATTTTTCAGTATTCTTTGTTAATATTTAATTTCAACTATTTATAAGCCGTACCTCCTTTTTTTTTTTTTTTTATTTGTACTGGTTGTGTATAAATTTAACCTTCCTGTTGTCCCATCCCATCTCTCCCCAATTGTTGGCAGAGTCAGTAGCATGTTATGGGCAGTTATTTAATTAATTTCTCTAACACCTACCCCTACACATTCCTATTGAGACAAGGGTTAGATATACATCTACATACTATATATATATTTGGCTATGTGTTTGTATATATATATATATGTTTATGTATATGTGTGATTCGGATTAAATAGACGCTACGATTTTTTTATATATGTAAAAAGAAGAAACAGGAAAAATAGAAAATTCTACATCTTGAATCTCTCTCCTTTTTAATTTTAATATTTGTTATCATTTTATTTATTGGTGCTACTGTTTATCTGTAATAATTGCGGGGAAAAAAGATATTAACACTACATATTGTGTCTAGTGAATTTTTTCAATATATTCCTTAGTACATATTTATTTTTAAACAAAGAAATTACAGATATATCTTAAAAAAACGACGACGACGAGGAGAAACAAACTTTTTTTGTATTAAAGAATTTAATTCTGACCTTGATTTCCTTTGCCTTCTCCTTCTGCCTTGCATCCTGGTTTTCTTCCATTGTGTAACAGACCCTCCAGCATTGCCTCTGGAGGCTACAGGGCACCAGCAACCTGCCAGTCGGACTCTTGGATTTGGGCTCAGAGCCTCCAAAAGCATCTAGGTACCTAAAGCCCGTTGAAACGAATGGGAGGTAGGCACCAAAATACTTGGCGTGGAGCTCAGCCCGAGTTCCCCGCTCAGTGAGAAGAGGGTGGTCTGATGGGCAGGAACGAGGGGGCAGGACTGCAGGGTTCCTTCCCAGCCTCTGATGCCAAGGAGTGCGGTGATGGTCCCAACCCTGCCTCCGCCTTGTCAGGAGCCAAGCCCCGTGTGCTGGGCGCTGCACAGGCCCGAGTAGCCGTGATCCTGGTGGAGCTTACAATCCAAGATGAAAGTAACGCCCCGAGCCTGCCCTTGGCTGGTAATGGACTCGGTGTTTCCAGCTGCAGCAGCGTGTGTGTAACCAGGGGCCAGCGATGGCTCAGCAAGACCTCGCCGTCCTGGCCGACGTTGAACAAAGAACTGTTCAGCTCTCGACTGTGCTCATCACTTCGTGAGGGATCTTGATACCGTTGCACCTTTTGTGATGTGCTTTGGGGTCTTTGGGAGGAAAAGCTCTTTGGAAGCGGTGTCCTTTCCTCATCAGCCATGGAGGTGAGTGTATCACGTGTCAGTCGTCTGGCTACGCTGGAAAGGAGCGTACAGGATGTTCCTGGATGTCTGGGAGGCGACTCACTCGGGTTAATACAGACCACTGATTTCGTGGCTGCCTCGGTCCTGCTCTTGTGAAGGTAAAGGATATGGCTTTTATTTAGGGCGGACTTAGGCAGCTTAACAGGTGGATCTGCAGTCACAGCCTCTGCAGAGGGCAGAGTGGAGGAAAGAGGATGAGTACTTGAGGAGGCTCTCGTTCGTCTTGTTCAGTAACATCTTGTGGAGTGCAGCGGTGAGGTGAGAAGGTGAGCGGGGCCGTGCATGGATGCTGCTGCGTGAGGAACCCAAGGAGTTGCTTCCCTTGTGTATTCATCACCGGCTTTTGGTTTGTGAGGATCTATGGGCTGTTTCGCAGACGGCTGTGCAATGCAACAAAGACAGCAAGCCTATCTTCAGTAAACCTGCATTGTCTCTGCGTGAGCTGGGAAATGTTTACAAGTCAGCAAATTGAAAAGATTGAAACCGGCAGGTCAGTGTTGCTCCCCTGGGCTGAGCTGGATGTGAAATCTCAGCGTGAGGGAAACCAGGTCTCCCGGACGGATGAGGCAGCGGGTCCCTACTGTCAGTCGCAACACGTCAAACACTGCCTGCTGATGGTGAGCTGGGCTGGCTGCTCCTGGCGCCTGGAGGAGTAGAGCATGCTGCACCCCTCCCTTTTCCTTCCTCTGAGGGCTCAGGAGAAGTAGGACATCTGCTTGCATGTGGCTGCAGCAGAGCCGAGGCAGCTGCCTCAAACCACTGCAGCGAGAACCTGCCCAAGCCAGCTCTGAATGAGGTACCTGGGGCCCTGGAAGCTGTCCAGCTCTTCTCCTTTATCCTCCAGGGTGGGTATGGCTGGGGTGTCACCTCTTGTGAGGAGAGCGATCGCGGCTCGATGTTGGAGGGGAGCTCAGCCTAGCTGGAGAGGCTGCACATGGGTGAGGACCCTGCTCTTGGAGGAGCTGGGATGCAGGAGTGTGGCTGCCCCTCACCCTGCTCAGCCTGAGCCCGTGTCTTGCACCTGGCTCACGTGTGCCCCATCCCGAGGTGAGGCGAGGACGCATGGAGCGAGGCCAGGTTTGCAGGCTGGCGCTCTGATCTCAGTGTGCAGCCTTTCACCCTGCGCACGAGAACTTTCCCTCAAAGGCTTCTGGTCACGTCCACATTTTGGTGGCTGGCTAATTAAAATGCTACCTATCAGGCAGCTGGCTGGTGCTTTCCTTGTGCTTGCTTCATTTATTCTGTGAGATTCAAAGAGCGGAGGCACCTTAAGAGGGAGAAAAGGGTGCCCTGGCAGGCACGACAGAAATCCCCACCAGCAATGGGAAAAGGGTGCTTTTAGTTGGAAACCCCTTCTGTCTTTCCTGTTTGGCACCTGCTAGCTGGTTTAACCCCTTGTTGCTAATGTCTTATGCTGCTGATCGGGTCTATAAGTCAGCCAGGCTCCACTTGGGCTCTGCCACCACCTGCAACGCCTGTTCGAAATGCCTGTAAAGCTTCTGTCCTTCAGCGTGGTCCCACGAAGGACCTTGGAAGCCCAAAGGAAATCTGTCCCACAGGCCACACGTCCTCTACTGTCTGCCCGCATGATCTTTGGTAGTGAGATGGGTATTTTTATCCCAGACCATGCGGTGTGCGTGGGGAGAGCCTCTCTGTGCTTGGGACGCCTGAAATACAAGGCTAATCCCAATTGTCTAGCACAAGGTCTGCAGTCCTGGTCCATGCAAGCACCATGCTTGCTCCCAGTGCCCCGTTTGGGGCTGGGCCAGCGTGGCCCCACAGCACTGTGCCACCCCACAGGCAGCTGCTGGCTCCCGCTGTGCCCCACAGTACCCGACACCCTGCAGCACGACGGGGCTGCTGAGTTGCCGGCCATCCCAGAGGGACCAGGCGCTCGTGCCTGGACCTCCAGCCAAGTCCCCCCCTTATCTCGTAGGAGGTGGTGAGTTGTGGATAAGAACGGGGAGGTGATATCCCTTGCACCAGCAGCTAAGGAGGGTGTGAAAGGAATGCGAAGAGTGCC